GTGCGCGCCAGGCCCTGCGCTCACCCCGAGCCCCTATGCGCCGGGGTCCCCGCGCCCTCCAAGGCCCATTACCCCCGGCTCTGCGTCTCCGGTCCGCGCCCCGCAGCTCGGGCTCCACGTTCTCCGCTGCCCTCCAAGGCCCAAGACTCCCTGGCTCCGCGCACCCTATGAAGGGCGCAAGGGCGCAACGTCCTGCTCTGCGCTCCCCGCCGCCCTCCAAGGCCCCAAGCCCCCCAATTCTGCGTCCAGGTCCTCTGCGCCCCGGGCTGCTCTCTGCCCTTCAGGCCCAAAGACCCCCGGCTCCACGCCTCTCTGCACACCCAGCCCGGCCCCAGACTCCCCGAGGAAACAGCAGCTTGCAACTTCATCCCAGCCCCAGCAGGCATCTTAGCCTCGCAGTCAGATGTCAGGAAAACTTTGTTTGAGAAAGCGGCACAGTTCTGGGTGGGTGTATGGACGCCCCACATTCTCCGTGCCCATGGTTCGAACTCGCGTTTCTGCAACGCCCCCTGCCTTGGAGATGTAATAACTGGGCTCTTCAGCACAAAGCGTATGGAATTAACACCCGAAGAGCATCGGGAAAGGGGAACTCACATAGACTAGTTGTAGGGGATTCCCCCACGCCAACCCAAGGAGACTGCGAATCAGATTCGACTAGAAGTCCACATTCTACAACTGAGGCACACGCTTTTGAGGTTCGGTTTCTGATTCACCAAGTGAGCGGGACTTCTTCTCTAAGGTGTCTTCTAGCTCTGACATTCTTTGATGAACTTTTATGAGTTTTCCCGGTTTGTTGTTAGGTTTTCTAGTTACTGTACTAAGAGAAACTAGCTGCAGACTACTCTTCCATCAGGTAGAGCACGGTTTGTTTCTACATCTCATCTTAGACAAGTACTTCTTAAGCACAGGAGGACCTGTAGCTAACCAAACGGGAGGCTCATCTTTCTGTACACAAACAAGACTTACAGAACTCTTCCAAGTGTGCGGGCAATGACCAAGGTAAAACCCTACATTAGTGGAATCTGCTTTAGAAACAGAATAGCCTGGCCCTAGCCTGTGGTGGCACATGCCGATAATCCTAGCACTCTGAAGGCAGAGGCAGTTGGATGTCTGTGCTAGAAGCCAGCCAAAGCTACATTTTGAGACCTTGTTTCCAAAAAACAAACAAGCAAACAACCAAGAATACTGAAGATTGCCTGTCAGACAAGCTTGAGAAACTGCGTTAGGTTCCCCAGCACTCATATAAAAACTGGGCATTGATACATATCCATAATCGGGACTGGGAAGTTGGAGAATAGATCCCTGGAGGTTATTGGCTGGCCAGTCTACCCAACGCAATAACAAGGCTCACTGAGAAACCTTGTCAAAACACAAGGCCGAGGGGCTGGAGAAGTGGATCATCAGTTAAGAGCTTGCTAGCTGAGCAGTGAGTGGTGCACACCTCAGGAGGCAGAGGCAGGTGGATCTCTGTGAGTTCAAGGCCAACCTGGTCGACAGAGCTAATTTTAGGACAGCCAGGGATACCCAGAGAAACCCTGTCTTGAAAAACATCAAGACCTTGTTCCCAGTACCCACATATTGGCTCACAATCATCCATTATTCCAGGACCACGGATTCAATGTTCTCTTCTGGCCTCCCCAGGTACCAGGCACCTGGTAACCTCACACCAGAGATGGTTCACATATATACATACATACATACACTCATACATATATACATACATACACTCATACATATAAAAATAAATAAATATTTTTTAAAAAATGGCATGGTAGCCCACCATTCAGTAGCCAGAGGTAGGCAGATCTCTGAATTCAAGGCTAGCCTGGTCTACATAGTGAGTTCAGCAAAACCCTGTCTCAAAATCTAAACTAAAATAAAATGGAGAAAGAGCTAAGTTCTAAGAGGCATCCACGACTCTGTTTCCTGATTGTGGATATGATGTAACCTGCTGCTTCAAGCTCCTGATGCTTTGAACTCCCCATCATGGTGGACTGTGCCTTTCT